ACGTCTTTCACTGAACGCTCTGCATGGGAGTGATCTACAGGGATCTTGTCAGCACTGGCCAGTCACGATATAGGTCACACGTGGTGTACACACCCGTGCAGTGCAATAATGGGACACTGTGTCCTGTGGACACCGATGAAGTGGATGGAGTTCTGTATTATACCCAGATAATTGCATTAATGTATTTAATCATACTACAACATTTTGTGAATTGGAAGTTTTTTTGGCGGTTTAAAACATTGAAGGTATATCTCATTTTACTGCATTGCTATTTTTATATTAACCATAGAAATGTCATTTTGACTTTTGTTGTAATCATAACAGAAAATACATATTACTTGGAATGTTTCTTCTGGTACGGAAATGTATTCTGTAAGATCAATTATCACTTCAAAAATGGCAAAACTATGTCCCTGTTCCTGTTTCTTTCTTACATTGCAGTTGCTGCATGGTGTGGTCACTTTATTCTTCTAAACACAAGACTGCATTTTTACCATTGCAAACTGACATTAGATTTCTTTAAATAAATTACTATACATATTTCTTAATATGATTAAATACATCATTATCAATTACCTTATAGGGAATGTTTTTGCGTTTTTGTGTATGACTGATTGTGTCACATTTGGCCTTATAATACAGACAAAGGTGAATCCTGAACATTGTTTGTGTTCTCAAACCAAGGAAATATATCCAAGGAGTCTCAACTGGACACTCTTTTAAAAATATGTTGTTCACATTATTGTGTATTAGTTGTGCTTACATAAAATAACCCTATCTACTGGTGTTTGATCAAAGAAAAAGCATGTATTTTTGAAAGCAAAAAAATATTTTTACTGGATTGTGGATGAGTTAAATCTTTATAAAAGCATTCCAAAACAAAAAGAATACATAAATATTTAATTTGCATGGAAGCCATTGGCACTTGTACAATATGTATAAATGTAGGGCACAATTAATTATCTACACACTACAGGAAAAGATGTAAACAGATTTGGAATGTATTTAAGCTGAAGTATTTTAGGTCAAGTTACCCACAGTGTTATTGCTGTAAGACAAACAGCCCGTCATTCCTTCTCAATGGCACCTGTTTTGACAGACGTAAAGGAGGTTATTGCATTTTCCCCCAGAACAACTTATCATGACATATTGTTGCAACTTAATAACCAAAAATATTTGTATTTTGATCAGTTAGGTAATATTGAAATCCACCTTTCTTCCAGTGAAAGACAAAATTTCCATCGTGTGGAAAAACATTTCTATACATACAATTTCTGTAAATAAGATGGTTTTATTTTTTTTTGGTTTTAATTGTTTTAACTTTATCTGAGTTAAAGTACCAGAAACACTGGTACATTATAAGAAACATAAGGAAGAGCATTGCTGCCACCGAGGAAAAGAAATGAATGTGGTATGTAATAATTACGCTAAAATGTTCTCATAATAATGAGATAATGTAATATCTCATAACAAAGAGATATTTTCTGGTAATTATGAGATACCAGATATTAAAAAAAACACGAAAGTATTTTTTTTCCTTGTTGGTAGCAATGCATTTCCTTAGGGATATAATCAAACTCCCAATTTTAAATTGCTTGCTTGCCTTGCTTCAAGACTACGTTGTGAGCAGGAACTAATATTTTAAAAACCTGTGAGACTGCATCTTCCATGCATACTCTTTCAAGTAGAACTTATTTGGACAATATCTAGTCCTATTTCTTTTCCTAATAGTTATCTCTAATTTTATCAGGGTGGCATTCGAGGATGGTATGCATGGTAAATGACATCAGTACAGTTACAACCCTACTTTACAGGCAAGACGCCTGTCAAGGTCAGATGCTGACAATACAACACTTTTCACTCAGACCTCAGTCCCTGAGTCATGAGCCCAGGTTTTTGTAGCAAAAGGACTGGAAGGCAGTGAACAGAGGACAACTTCAGGGAAAACCTGTTGGTGCTCAATCCTCCTGTTTCTATATGTGTGTCTCATATAGAACTGTGTACTCCTAGTGATGGAAAAACAGCTGGCAATACATATGCACACAAGTGGACTTGCACACTTGTACATAAATACATAAAGCACAATGTATTGTCTACACAACACAGGAAGGAATCTCGCGTTTCCTAGCACTAAAAAACTGTGGTGTTATTCATTGTGTTATGTAATGAATCAATCATTTATATATGCTTGTAGCCTGATAATAGAAATGTCTTTTTATTGTTATATTGCAATGCAGGACTGCCATATTTCGATTTTTGTTTTTTTAGTTCAAATCTAGCATGCTTGGCAATAATACAGATAGAGACAGAAGTGTTGATCTATAATAAACACAACAGTTCACGCCAAACAGACTTACTGTAATTTTCTTATTTAGGAAAATATATAAAGCATAAAAACAGATGATTTCCAGTTTATTTAAAGCTGATTTTATTTCAGCTAAATTTAAAATGTCAAATTTCAGATTTGGGGGAATTTTAGGAGAATTTACATGTTAAACAATTATGAACTTTTTTTACAATTATGAAGTAAATCACATTCAGTATTTTAGAACTATAAGTAGCCATTGTATTTACCTAGAAGAGGTAAGTAGACATTAAACAGTTTTGCTAAGAAAAAGCCTGCTCATGTACTTTTCTGACAGCAAGGGGAGACATAATTTATGTAGTTCTATGAATGCTACAAATTCAGTGTTTAGTGGGATAAGGATATTTCTGTAAGGCAGCTGGAGGTTATTTAAAAATCTGACCTCAAGGCTTAGCCATTGCTATCGCAGTGACAACTCTAAACACAGCGAGAATTCTGGGAAACACTGACGTACAGTATTTGCATATCACACCGCATCCTCTTGTACTGAAAATCATGGCCGAAAATCTCTCCCCTTCTGAATTCGTTTTTAGATTTTCTTTTAGATTTCTTAACTTCATGCCTTTATGCCTGAAATTATAGTATCATTATGTTTCAATGCTGTTATACTTCATGCCTTTATGCCTGAAATTATAGTATCATTATGTTTCAATGCTGTTACAAACTTGTTACAGGTTGCTGGTCCAAAATAAATTCATCTGTAAATCGTTCCTATTAAAATATCAGCCATATAAATACCATTGTTGTTTCAATAAAATCACAAGCACAACCATCTTTTTGGACATTGCTTTGGAGTGCGTCGTTGAAAGGTCTGATCTATTTCGGAGATACGAGTGCTTTTGGTGTGCATCTCAAATCAAGGAGGTCTGATTTTTTACAAATGAAGTACTTGTACTCGTGTCCTTAAGATCGGATTCAGTCTTTCTCTGAATCCAAAAATGTGATGAACACTCAAAAGTGTTTTGTAAATGATATTTCAGGGATATCATTTTATTTATTTTTTTATTATTCCCTTACAAAAAGAACTGTATGCTACAAAGTACATTTCAGCATACAGTATGTGTTTATGAAACGACATCACGAAATGTCTAATAGCAACCATAATAAAGATTGCAGAAAAATTAATTAATGGTAGTTTTATGAGGCAGTTGTGTTTGTGGAACATCTTTATTTACTCATTGCATTCCTAGATGACACTTGTCACTAAATTTGTAAAAAGGACAAAAGTTGAATATGGTTTTATCCACTGCCCCAGTGAGGTGTCGAATTCTCACTGTAGTTTTCAGTCCAAAGCACTCAGCAATTATTCCACTGTCAGTTTTGCACAGGACTGTGGCAATAATAAAAGAAAATACCTCTGGTTACCCTAGGTGATGATAAATCTATAATGAAACCCTTGTGTTAATTTATTTATTGACACAGTAAAACAAAATAAATCTACAACACAAATCAACAGCAATGCACCCAGTTCAATATCTAAACTCCCATAAAACCTTTAGTTAAAAAAACCATGCAATAGACAATTTACAATAGTGAAAAATGTTTAAACAGAAGTGTGCACGTGTCAAAAAATATATTTGCAAAGTGAACTTTGCAAATACTTATGCCTTCCGACATATTTTGAAAAACATTTCAAGTCACATTCACATTAACTCTTAGTTCCTTCCAGGCATTCACAATACCTGAGTCCTAACTATCCTAAATACTGTTGAGAGGCTAAACGAGATTCAGAGTCCCGCTAGCTTTCGCTTCCTTTGGCTTCCAAATTCCTTTTTTGGTTACAACACAGCTTTTCATAGTAGCAGGTAAATGGCAGTTTATCCGTGTAATATTCCTTGGAATATACATTAATTAAAGTGCTTCAGTCTCTGCCTTATTCCCGTTGTTTGCCAGGATAGACTCCAGCACCCCACAACCCTGAACTGGATGCAGCAGTTAGAAAATGGATGGATGGGATATGTGCTTCAGAATGAATGGCATTAAAAATGGAATCTACATCCTAGGCTGTAAATGATACACAGTATATAGAAAACACCAGGAAGGCTTATCTATCTCTATCTCCATTTGTGGTATAGAAATACTGTGCCACAAATACATTTACCCCAGAACACTAGTTGTTGTTTGCTTAAATACATAAAAAAAATATAAAGATTTTCCTTCTTATATTAATATTCCCAAAATTGAAAAAAATCAATCAGAATAAAACTGAGCCTCATGAAGCTGCAACCCTTAAATAATGGTTGGAATTTTTTACAGGCTGTTCGGGATTTTTTAACAAACATTTTTAAATTGCGCTGCTGCAGATTTACTACTTGTTCATAAACTAAAATTGTCTATTACTTACAAATCAGAACACACAAGATTAAATCGACCATTTTATGATCAAGTTCATTGTACACACCAATGTTAATAAGGGTTCTGTAGCTTACATAGTACCTGACCTTATCAACAGCGAACAAGCAGAATGCTGAATATTAATTGCATTACACAACAAAAAACTTTAACATGGCTGTTACAGCAGCAGAAAGCACTGGGTATGAAAAACCCTTGACTTGAAATTCACAGTTCTTGTGAAGCACAGTGAAGAACGGTGTATTTATCAACTAGGACACAAAACAGGTGGTAGGTAGTTTTAATAAGTGACACACATTTCCAGGGTTTAATACCTAAATGAAATGAATGCTTGTTTACAGCTGCACAAAGGAAACGGAACAATCAATTCTGACAGATCAAATATTTTCAAAAACATATCAAGCACAGAAAACGTGAGGTAAAAAGAACCATTTTGTTTTGTCAAATGTAACACCCTGTCGAAATGTTCCTCCACTCTTCCTGTGACTCTGTAGCCAGTAACGAAGGGTGGCCAGTCACAGCTGTCTCCTGTGGCGCCACTGGCGAGCTGGTCCCAAAGATGATCAGTTCCCACAATGACTTCGCACTGTTTTCCTGAAGGAGTGTCATTGTAATCCTGGCACTGTGTGGTTTTGGCATTGTCCTGCTGGAAAATCGATATTTCCGGATTGGCTTGCAGAAACGAAGGAACCATTCGCTTGGGTTACTCAAATGTCAATGTATCGCTGAACAGGAAGTTTGCCCTCAAACAGCACCTGAGGCATTTTACTTTTAAAGGACATTGCTCCATACCCACATGATCCTGTTCGCCTCCCACAGTTTGGCTTGAGCAACACAACAGTCCACCTGGCATTCATCAGTGAAACACTCACCTGAGATGCTCTGTGGCCCAAAGAAGATGGTGATGTCATCTTGCAGCTACCAACATGTTGCCCCTGAATGGCCTCTGGAGATAGAAATCAATTTCATGCAGACAGCAAGCCACAGTCATTCTTATACTGTAAGTTGTCTGTTGCTGTAATTGTTCACACTATAGGCACTGCAGTCAGAAAATGATTACACAAATGGATCGGGTGGATGTTATGGTTGAGGGTGACCCTTGCCTTCCAGAATACGGACTGTCCCTTACAGAGCGGGTTGCTTGGTACCTGTGGAACAGTCTGCCGATTATTCAAAAGAAACATCTCATTCCCTGGGCAGCTGCTCTCACAGAGAGACCTTCAATCTTTCTGAGAGTTACCACACTATCTTCAGTACTCGTGGAAGCGTAGTTGTATCTTTTTATTTTGTTGAAATCACATGTTTAGAGTGGATTTTTACACCGATTCTTAAGCAGTTTATTTTGACGATTTGAACTCCACTCAAATACTTCATTCAGCTCATGTCAACATCTGGCGATTTTCTGAGATCACATGATTTGTGTTCAATATGTTTTAGCCGAAGAAACTACTACTCAGAACCTAATCTGCTCACTACTGCAAATAGAAATAACATCACATATGTAGCCAACGACCTATTGATTTAAAACTTCAAAAAAAGATTTGCTGCACAGATTTGTTATAAATTGTATTTGTTGTAAATTGTATTCTGAATTGTAATTTGAAATAGTTTAAATTCTGCTGACAGCTGTTTGTACTTTTCAGTCAAAATGTCCACCATTGTGCACCTAAAGAGTGTAAAATACTCTGTTCTGTAAAAGTATAAGAAAGAAAAGAATGTTAAATTTGGTCAAGAAAATGTGTAATGAAGACAGATCTCTTTTGCTCAGGTTTGCACTCAACTATCCTTGCCAAGATCATTTCAGAAGATCTACAGTACTTGTTTTTCAAATGCAGCAGTTCCTTGACTGTAAATATACAGTACATCGACAATACTTATCATATATGTACTTGTGCTTAAGCAGAACAACACAGATCACGGCCAATGTGAATGTTTTAACACTGACCTATATTACCACAAAATTGTCAGCTTCTCTGCGCGCATTACTTTTTTTCTACTATTGATTTAACTTAATTGGTTGCTGAATATTTGCAGCAATTAGATATATTTTAACAATTTAACACACTAAATGGCATTTCAATTAAAAAAACTGCACACTTGATTTGTGTATATACACGTTTTGAAAAGACTATTTTGCATTTTACCGTAAAACGTTTTTTTGCCTTGGCGAATCAGGAGCTGACTGTAGATAATTACATTATAGTTATAAGGTAGACATTATATAGAGACATTATTTTATGTAATCTATATATTTATATAGAGTATATCTATACTGTACATAGTGTGTATACAGTACGCTACATTATTGTAGATGTAGATGTACGGTACGCGTTCGTATTTCTACACTGTAGTTTCATCACAAATAGAGTGCATCGGGTTTGATTTAAACCGATATTTCCTTGTCTCGCAAAATAATATTTAACTTGGATGTGCTCAGAAGCCGGATAATTTTGGCAGATCAAGTCAAATGTATTATTTTTATTCTTACAAAAGCCTCAATTATGTGAAAAGAAATACATACACATATATTTTCAGCAAAGCCTGAACTCAGACTGAGGATAGTCTACTGAGCTATCAAGAAGACTTGGTTCTTCGACCTTAGAGCCTTCATCATAGACCGAGCGGACTGTGACTTTTAGATAATGACACATATAGCAGGAAAATAGAAATTGTACGAATCACAGCTGCAACCTAACATTTAGATTTAGATGTTTAAATTTCAACTTCCTCTTCCCAAACTAAATTGCCATCATACACCTTTCCATTGAGTAACTCATATGTACTGTAAGAGTTTTTGATTCGATATTTTAACAGGTTACTAGTTAGTGTCTCCCACCTACAGTACATACAGTAGTGTTAATGGTTTTATTGTTTTCAGAAAGCTAGAAGTTCCACAAGGTTTAGCGGAACTGGTCAAGTATGAATTTTATAGCGCTATAAGCAGCCCTCTTGAATCTTTGTAGCTTTCACTAGCTCCGGTAGTGTTACTGTTAATAATATGAACCCCAATGGCGTGCACAAAGAGCAAGTGGTGGGTTTCGCCTAATTGTAGGACATTTTTAAGAGAACCCACCCAAATGTAACAGGTAGTATTCCGAGATTTTCCCCTACAGCAGTTCAAAGACGCACAGTCCACTCAGATAGTCGTGTTCTCCGCCCGGGAGTGTCGAGGTTCCCAGAGTCGGAGCTGCTCTTCGCCCATTTCCTCCCATTTGTCGGGTTGCTTCGGATTGATCCGCGACTGGCTACACAATACACCAGACTTCCGAGCTTAATCGTTTCTCCGTTTGAGGGTTTTCCGTCAGCCCCTGTCTTTTCCAGCCGGTGCGCGCCCACAAAGCAGTGCTGCCGGCTGGAAGACGAGCTCCAAGTAGGCCTGTTTTTAACTTTAACATTTGTTTTGTCGACGCTATACACGTGTCAGGCTGGAGCGGCAAAAGTTAAACACAGCCCATTGCTAACTAATTATTGATCATTTCATTCAAGAGTAGTTTGTGCGCACCATGATGGCGCGCTAGAATTGACATAGCCTACACCCATTTATTCTGTTTTCATCTAAGATAATTCTTCAAACACTGTCTGCAGGGCGTTTTGAGATGCGGAAAATATGATACAGCGCACAGGTCTGAGCGCAGCTAACGCCCAGCGTCCTGCTTCACATCCCTATGAAATGTCTGAGCAAACAGAAGCTACGGGGTATCCTGCTTACTGATTTCATCGTTATGTTTAAGTGACCATCATCGACTTGGTTCGGAAACTTTCATAGTGGTTCAGTTAAATACCCTCCAGTGTATTATAACCTTTAGTTGACGACACGTGTAAGCCTATTCATTAGTCTGAATACCTGTACAAAACCTGATTTATAATCTTTCTTATTATTCAATAGCATCTTTACGCTTGTTCTTTTAATCCAGTCTTTATTTTAATATATCCCATTTATTCTAGGGCTACTGCAATAAGGATGTTGTTAACGAATGACTGCTCTCCTTCGAACAACCCTGCTGTGGTTTGCTCTCAGACAGTAGGCCTACACGCAGTTGCCAGTATTTTTTGTCGAACGTCTGTAAAGTTTTTTTTAACCTTTGCCGCCTTCGCAAATAAGTCCACACAATTCAGATGTATCACATAGTAAAAAGAGAAGTAATACGCTCAGTAGGTTAGTAGTAGCAGCGCTTTTGGCGATGGTTGTAAAGGAAGATGAGGAAGATTTACCGCGGTAGTAATTTTGAATGAACAGTCTCGTCAAAGAAATTGCTCTGCCGAGTACGCATTGGGTAACGCAAGCTCATTCATTTTTGTGGTACAGTGTTAATCGCGATGATCATTTTGGTCAAACGTTTTTCGCCGAGCCTACTGTTCTACGGCACCAACACTCCTGCAAAACAAAACTTTCTTTACCCCCCGAAGATCAGGTGCAGTACAAGAAAAAGAACGAGGAGTCGATACAAAACTGTACCTTTAAACATTCGGTCACCTCCGTATTCCGTGTATCCGTGTAAATCCCATTTTTGTGTGTGTTTTATTAGTTTCCAAAGTGGCAGAGGGGGGAAGAGGAGACCCTTTCCCACGTTACTCTCTCTAATAAACTGCGCCAAGAATGCTCAGAGATATAAGGCATTTCTTTTTTACACGGTCAAGTGGTTTGAGCCTCTGTAAGACGAACCCCCTAAGGTGAGGGAGCACAGAGGATTACTGAAAAATGTTCACAAAAGAATGGTCAAATCAAACATTACTTTAGCGGTTGAATTAATTCTATTTTTTTTTTGGTCAAGTCTGTGTTTTCAGTTTGTCCACAGTAATTGTAATACCCGGAGGTGAGCACGAGCGGTGTATTTTATTTCTCCGGAGCTTCAACAGTTAAAATTGATTTATTACATACTGGAGAGAACAATAGACAAGCCTTAGCGTGTTATTCTTTTGTGTTCTGTTCAGACCCTATTCTTACCAATCATCTCTACAAAGCACACATACAGGATAATAAATCAACTAATTAGTGATCGAAAATCAGGACAGTACAATGATATTATACTCATATATAGCAGGTTTTGATGCCACAATGATAAAACAAACTGAGTTTTCTGACAGAATACTTAACTGACTAGTCTAGATCACAAAATGTGTGGATTAACTGGTGTCTCACTAATAAACAGAAAACAAATATCTTTGTGACACATTGGACGAGTTGAATTTAAAGTCAACGAATAATATGCTGTGATTTTTACTCCGAAATTATTAACTGCTTGTATTTTAATGACCAGGGGGTTGTTGTCTGTTTGCAAGGGCTGCTCTATAAACAAATATTTTGATTCATTTGATTCATGATCCAGATACCCAGCTTTTTCCTGCACCTACGTGTACCACATTTCAAAACTCACAGCAAAGTTCCTCCCTGCTTTCCAGCCTCACACTTGTTACAGCAAACGCTAGATATCAGTGGTTGTTCTTCAGTGAGAGTCAGGATATCGGTGTTTATTTTTTTAGCTTATTTTGTACTAGACTGTGATACATCGGTCAGCATAGGAATAAAAAACACAGAGGTTTGGAGGACAACGTTATGAAGTCACCTTTTCATTTTTTTCAAAATGGCAGAGCGTTATAACAAAGTAAGTAAACTATGAAATGGGGAAGAGATGTGCGGTAGTGATTTGGGAGATGTCGTCTTCCGCATCCAGTACCGAGAGCAGCAAGTGAGTCAGGAAAAGAGAAATAAACGACTTTATCACCATCATCAACATCATCATCGTCACAGGGTCCTTCACACCCCAGAGAAACAGTTGTCCGGCAGGGTGGTGGGCGAGTGGACAGTACCCTTGCTGACTGGCAGTGACTAGGTGCTGGTGCTAGTGTCTGTCTTGTGCGGCCCAGAGTCGATGAACGTTGACCGAATTAAGTGATTTTCTCTACCTGTTTGCAGTGACACGGGCTTTTTATTTTACACAAAGTTCGACCGAAAATTATTACCGTTTGCTAACTGAAGACTAACAGTAACTGAGTTTACATTATCCGACAAAAGCTCTGTTTTTACTCTCTTAAACGTGCGGTTTAAGAATGAGCTTTGAAAGTTTTAATACATTATTTAGGAAATTAGGTTTTTAAGTTATTTAGTGCTTATGTCTAAAAGGAAACCTATCACTTCGCATCTATAGTCCAGGCCTTAAACAAAAGCTACCTTGTCTACTGAGCGCATAATTCCGGTATTGTAGAGACTAGTGGTAGAAATATCCTGTTAATTAAAACATCTTCTACTTTCCTATAAAACCATTAATTTGTTAGCCCATACTTATCTAAAGCAATGATTTCACAAGTACAATCCTCCAAGCAATTTCAAAATTCACCGATATCCTTTATCTTACAGCTCTCAGCTTCGCTCTTGTGCTGTAGTGCCGCCCCTGGACTGTGGAACTCGCTGCTCCCAGCGCAGTTTAGAACTCCGAAATCGCAAAACGTCTGAGACACATAATTGTAATATATCTTGTGGCCTTTTCCGGGTTTTATATCGTTTTATATCTTAACTTTGGGCTTTCTAATTTTTTTGTCTCCGCATTTGAGCACCGCTTTAAAAATAAATCAAATGAATTATTATCATCATAACCATTTTCGTGCTTATTAGTTGCTGTTGTTACTTTCTGGCAAAAACTGATCCTTTCAAAATTGAGATTTGTTAACATCAATTATCAAAGCTACTACGGCTACCTAGTTGCTAGATTCTTATTACCGTACATAAGTACACCACATAATTATTAGTGGTGTGAACGCATTTATACTTTTCCATTATTGTTCTGAGAAATAACTTCCTGACATTAACGTCCTGAAAACTATTTCTCTTGATAAGCCAACTCACGTCAGCATCTACCAAAGAACATTGCAGTAAAGTAATTACTCCGAAAAAAAACAATAATGTTTACTAGTATACAGTAATTACGCTTTTTATTAATTGTTGTCGACTAATACTCTGAAGCTCTTAAATTGCTATTCTAAATTAAGAAGCACCCTATCTGTGTTGTCAAAAGGCAAAACCTCTAATAAACTATATGTAAGTTTAAGCAATCGAAAAAATGTCGTGGACACTAGGTCAACAATGGGTTTTGTTGCTGATTGTGTTAATTTGTGTGTTTTCTTTAAAACAGTGTAAAATGTGTATTTTTTAAAAACGAAAAGGTGTTAATAACGCTAATACTTTAAAAAAACAAATGTGCTTATTTCTTCACACAATCTTGTAAAACAAATACAAACGGTTCGATCTCTTCAATATTTGGGGTAACTGTCGGGGGCATTTAAGGTAATTCATTACATCGAAAAACCTCTGAAAGATCATCTCATTTCACAAGTTTTACAGTCCACTGTGTTTCAAAATGAAAGGGTTCCTATACGTTCAATGGACAGTTTACCTATAGTTCTTAAGGTCCTAATATAAACCTAAAACATGAATATACAGCTACCAGCCCAACACGAAACGGGCCTCTTGAACACACAGCTGAGCGGGACTGCACCGGGCAGTTGTTCTGATACGCAACTTGATTGAAAAGAAAGGACATTGGGTTTTTTATACAACACAATATTACCACATGGAAACAAAATGTATCTGAAAATGTGCATAATAACATTTCTCTCTTTAACATATGACATTTATGCCTGCTGCTTCCTTATCTGTATTAAAACATGTAATGGACGAGGATGGCTGAACACCCATTAATCTTGATCCGTGTGGACGCGTTCAAAGGCCTTTCCGCATACTGTAGGTAGTAGTTTCATCATTTAAAAATTAGCAGCACCTTTCATTTTCTGCGTCTCTCCTCTGCCCCAAATCTCTCCCTTCTCCAAAACCAATTGTTCTGTTTATTTGTAATTGTAACCCGAGATACTAGATACTCTATAAAAATGTGATGTGTTTTATAGGTTTGGATTTATTTTGAAACATTCGTAGAATCGGCAAAGTGAGTCTTAAGAGTATTTACCCCACTAATAAATTAGAAGAATTAAAAACGTGTATAAAATACTAAAATGCATTTTCTTAATAAAACAAACGTTTTAATACTTTATTTCTCAACTTTAACCAGGTTAAAGTTGTTGATTTTTCTTACAGAAACAAAACCAAAAACGATAAATGTTACAAACTCCATACATTAATAAACTCTAGAAACTAAAAGTGCAAAACATTGAAATAACATTTAAAAATAAAATCCAAACACCCCAAATAACCCCGTGCTGTAAAATAAATAACACTTTGACCTATACATAGAAATATATGATAAAATAAAAGCCATAAACTTGTTTTTAGAAAGGTCGTGGAGACTCGATAAAAAGAAATTCGCCGATGATTTTCCAGAAATTAAATAATAGTAATAAAATAATAATAACAACAAATAACATATCATAAATAAATCACTACGTCTCAAACGTGGACAAACCCGTCCTGTAAAATGAGAATGTGCAGGTATATAACACAGGTACGATGTTCTTCGTGAGAGACAGATCTATACAACCACCTCTCGTGTTAATGGGATAATTAAAGCAACTAAATATTGTCCTTTGAACATTAAAAGGTAGGCTGGCCAAAGTACTTTTATTAATAACTTAGCCTAACTACTGTATATATCCTTTACAATCACTTCGCCAATAGCGCCTTGCGCTAAATGCGTCACACTCCGTAATCCATGTGTTAGGGATTAGGAAGTGTCCATTGAACGTCTGGTACACTGGTACAATTTAGGGACTAAAAAGTCAAATACCTAATACAGAAACAATCAGAACCGGTATTTTAGAGTCCATCCCGGGACTTCGCTGATCCGGACTGAGGCCTGCGACTCGAGGGCTTCTGTTCTCGAGAATTAGCACACGCACAAGCGCGCAGACGCACGCCCACACTGCCGTTTCAAACATAAATAAAGCAAATACAAACGCAGACTCTTGCTTATTTCAGCATGAATGATAGTAACACAAAAACTCTACATTGTTCGAAACTATACCGAAATCCTGAGCAGATCCAAGTTTCATATCCACGTCCGTCCCCGATCATGACTACATATGCCCTGATTTTGTTTAATAGTAAGGCGCTTGTATGAAAACAAAATGCTTAATTCTAAATATCATAAAAGTAACAAATCAATATTTACAAAAAAATATTAAATAATTTAAGGAATTGTATATTATTTCTCTTAAGACCGATGGATATTTGTAATGGCAACAACATTTTAAATAACATGTTTGTAATAAATACGAACCATAAATAAACTGAGTCACAAAAGCCATTCGTATTCTTTTGCACGTGATAAAAACAACCCGAAACATTTGTCGTTACCTTTGGTATGACAAAAATCAAGTTCTTAACCTGCAGGTAACAAAGTTTGTCCCTTTCGAAGTTAAAAAATATCCTGCATATTTCCGAACTACGCAGTCCACGCAGTGTATGGCGATAACAGCATAGCGCGAGAGAAACGGTCGCTTTCCGCGCGATTTAGTCATTTTTTTTCGTGTAAGTGCATTGTTTTTCAGCTTGTTTCGTTGCACCAAATAAAACGCAGGAGAAATCGAGGAAGATTATTTTTTTTTAGTGTATCCCGTTCACTTTTTTTTTCTCTTTCTCTCTCCCATGCGGAGCGCTACAAAACGCAAAATCAGTTTAGAAACGAATTAGCGGGTGTCGCTCTGTTGTGATGAGACGCCACTCCCGGGAACCCCGTGGAAACACCTTGCGCAAAGGAAGGCAACGAAGTTCTGAGGGATTCGGTGAGCAGGGTCGGGGGCGAACTGGACGGAGCGCCGAACCTGGACCCGCTTTGCTGGAGAGGCTGGACGTGCTGGGTCCCGGACAAGAAATAACCCGTCTGCCCAGACAGCAAGCTCACGGGAGACGTGTTAACATTGTAACTGCTTGTCAAGCCGATGCCCCCGGCGGGTCCTCCCAAAATCGGACGGGACAGGTCCCCGTTACCCAGAGACTCGACTCCCGAAAGTAGGGAGCCGTACGCGTGCCCTTGGTTCAGAAATCCCGAGGCAGATCCGTTATAGTGCGGGTGATGCAAAGACAAAAATGGCGAAATTTGCCAGTACAAAGGGTTGTTCGCTCTGTCGTTCAATCCGAGCCCGAGAGGGGCGAACCGGAGACCCCTCTTCATCGCCAGTTTGCCCCTGGAGGTAGCCGACCGCCTGCGAAGTTTCCCAGTACTGCCCCCGATAAAAACATCGTCACTCGAAGGGTCCAGCATCCAATAGTTCCCCTTCCCGGGGTCATCGTAATGTCTTGGCACTTTCACAAAACACTTATTGAGGCTCAGATTGTGCCGGATCGAGTTCTGCCAGCCCTGCTTGTGCTCCCTGTAATAGGGGAAATTCTTCATGATAAACTCGTAGATGCCATTCAGGGTGAGTCTCTTCTCGGGACTCTGCCTGATGGCCATCATGATCAGAGCGTTGTAACTGAACGGCGGCTTGTCGTATTTCCCCGTCTTGCTCTGCTCTGCCGGTCGGTCGCCCCCTTCGTCGTCCTCTTCGTGGTTTTCCAGGCTGGGGGACTCGAGATCCATCTCCGTGGGGGCCGGCGGTTTCGCTGGATCGGACCCGGGAGGAACAGTCCTTTTTTCTGGGGCGCCCGAGCCCGGGTTGTCACATTTAGAAGGGAGCAGGAGGCTCTTGATGCTAAACGAAGTGGATTTGGGGACCATCGTCGGCTCCTTGTGATCTCCCATGCCCGGCAATCACAACAAGCGCTGGGTTTTGTGTTTAAAAAATAAAAGGTCAGGCGCGATCGGATCAGGACATCGCACGCATGAAGAAACTTCTAGGACAGAGGATCCTGCAGTGGACGGAGAAATTAGTAATTAAGGAGGTTCCGTTTTAGGGCTACATCATCGAATGGGAGGAGCTAAGCAACTTGCTGAAATCCTACTCATCTTACCAGAAACCGAGCATCCTTTTTTAATCATTTTAACCGTAAACTCATCAGCGGCGTGTAATTCTCGTTCCTGCCCGCACGAAAGCGTTTTTTTTATTACAAAAACACCCTGCTAGACGCGCCGTCTGAACGCGGCAGCATCGCATCTGTGGGCACCGCGGATACAGCAGTCTAACACTGGATGCACAAGTGAAAGAGATCAGTCTCAGTATTTGATTGGTATGTTTCACACACAAATAGCAAAAGAATTGTACTGTATCTGCACCACTGAATGACAAACGGAGTGTAAGTGATGACTCGGCTATAAGGGAAACACTTTAAACGATCGCATCTCTCAGACGAATGTGAAACACATCTTACATTTTGAATGAAGAAGCGTTCGCACGTTTAGATGCCGAAAGTGGTCGTTTAAAATCTTTAACTGCTACGGGTTTCTCCTTTTTTTCTGTTCTTTTTTTTTTTGTAAAAAGCGGTAGAAATGGAGGTGGTGGCTGGCTGGGCTGGGAAGACCGTGCGGGGGGTTTCAGAGATAGGTTTGTAGGACTTTGCTGGCTTTGTGGTCGTCTTCATTAGTTCAGAGTCAGAGAGACTAGACGGCCAGGTGAAGCCGGCTGGAGAAAGGCGTCTGATGTTGTGAAATGCTCGCAATCTCTTCTTCTCTTGGACGTCGTGCAGTGTTTGAACTGTCCACTGGATGTGCCCGCAGTGAGTGGGACGCGAGCGCATTTGTCATTCATTTTTTAATAATGTCGTGTATAGTGTCATTGCCTAAGGTATTGACTTGAGCCTTGAAGTTTTTTATTTATTTAAAATCCCTTCTATGGACTCGAGCACGGGGTAAACATTTACTTAACAAAATCATCCAGATTATCTGTGCGCTCTGGTGCGTTCATTACTCACATAGTAAACATATACACTTCCCCACCCTTGGGCTATTAAAGGTGGTACAATCCCCAGTCATAAACAAAGATATGCTTGTAACACTTATATTAGCAGTGCATTATCTTAGAACATGTTTTAAACCATTGGTACAGTACAGGGTATCGCACTGTGTTTACATTTGAAGAGATGGAACCTGCACAGCATTTATTTCCACTGAGATTTCAGTCCACCGGAATGGCTCGGCTCACGCAGAACGTGGGCAACATCTTCTGTTGATATGTTGGTAACGCTTAATTTAAATACACGTCAGGACAACACAAACCAAACTCACGGGTTTTAAGACGCCAGATATTCGGACCAAAATAAATTTGACAAAAAATAGGCGCATACTCGCCCCATCCAGCTATTTCTTGATAGGAACCAGCGCCAACAATAGGGTTGGGTACCTTGTTCCATACTCCCACAACCCTTTGTGTAAAAACGTTTCTACCGGTGAAAACTAGGTGTGTCTTGTCATAGTTTATTCTACTGAAGTCCATTGGCTAGACATTATCCACGCTTATGAGATTTGTTTTAATGAAGATTAAGATTAAACATACTGTAAAAAATAAGTGATTTTAAGTTTGTCCGTTAAGAGCCCAGGGAAATGTGCCTTATCGCTCTTCTCTGGATTGATTCCAGAGCAACAGTATAATTTAACAATATAAATTGTAACGTGGTGATCAATATTGCATTTAATACACTAAATTAAGTATTTTTAGTACGTTGTACAATTTCAACATACCATGATTTAAGTTCTACATCCTGCATTATTATAGGTCAGAAAGGTAATGTCCATATCAGAGCGACAGCGGCTCATCGAGATACAACAGCTCATTCTCGGTGAATTATTTATCCTGCCTGTTCATCGCTTCCTCACATTGTTGAGGATGTGCAAATACAAAAACCTTAATACTCAGTTCATAAATAGCTTATGATGTTTAGTTACACTATATTGTATTTTAAAAAGTTCATCAAGCATCGTTTCCTTAATGGATGTCGTACTTTTTAAAATGATTTATATTTCAGTCGCGTTTCCTTATTAACTATAGTTTTATACTACTTGGGGTTGTTATATGCTATTTCTAACATCAGACGTTTAAGTGATGAATCTCAAAATATCTTAAATATACTGATATCTTCATCTTATTGCTGTTTATAAATGCTTATTCGATTTCATATTGTACTCTAATGCAGGTAATCGACTTTCTTATTCCGATTATGTAATTTATTTTATCAATATACAGTACGCTTACCACTGTTTTGTATCTCATCTCTCAAAGAGTACATTACTAACTAAACTTGGAAAATAGCTATTCCAAAATGAATCGATTCAATAAACTCACAATATTAGCATCTAGAAAAGTTGTTTGAAATGTTCAATACTTCAGATTAACTTAATAAGTTCACGTAACTCTCTTATGTCTTTAATGATAACTTTACGCTTGGTCAAAGAATTAAAAGACCAGTAAACTTCTTTATATTATAAAACTAGCGTGTAGCCCCCGGTACATGTACAGTAAACTAGTAATTCCTTTAATAACCTCTGAAAGACAATTACATAGTCAAACATACTGTAGGTATAACCTGAAAATAAATCAACGTATAACATCCTAATTAACAATGAAAAAATGCAATCCCGATTGTTTATACTTCGCCTTCTCTGTAATTGTCTGTCTTTGTCCTTATAAAGTTCTAGTAAGGAAATGCATAGCCCATAATTGTCTCTATAATAGACTGCCTTCAACAATACACAATTTCGTTAATTTGGGCTCTGAATTGTAAATCTTGTTTTTAGTAGTTCCAATATTTTAATATTTTGGAATAAAGACATCCCCTTATCGGGGCCTGTGCAACGCTTTGACACTATTAACTGATTCACAGAGATAACAGAAGTCGAATGAAAATACCGGCCAAGCTTAATAAATAATCATTTTTTATTTAATCAAGCAGATAAACATTAAATATACTCCCAAAAGCTTTCTGAAAAGCAAAATATTACCTGATCCTAAAATCTTTCACTTTTTCCTTAAACGCAACAACGAACTTTCTTATCCCATTCCCTTATTACTAAAGGGAGAACAAGGGAGAAATATAATCTCCCCTATATTCTTTAAGTAACTTCATATTTCAAGAGTCATGCGTTGTGATTTCCCAAGACAGTAGAGACCTACTATACGTAAACCCAAAGAAAAATGAAGTTATTTCCGCTGAAAAGGTCAAACTGCCTACAGGATATACTACACGTTTGTATAAATCTTTTTTTTCTTCAAATCTCTGGCAGTAGCGTTCATGTTTTGGGTTAGATTTTCTTATAATAATCGAAAGATTTTGAGACTATGTGGTTCAAGTCAAATTAACAACAGAATTAACTTTAATCACAAGTGAAATGACGACACTGCGTTATGGATGTTTGAGATTCGTTGTGTAGTTGTGTGATACTTGGTTTCCCATCCTGAAGGTAGGATGTATCTCGGTGCCCTTAGATCATTCACAGGTGATTGAGCAGAGCACTGAATTTTCAGACAAGAATGATCTAGTTATAATGTGGTCCACTTTAAAATTACAATTAAAATAGTTTTGTTATATAAAAATATTATATACAAAGTTTAAACGCAGTACTAAAACTCCCAACAACTGCAAATGTTGACAAAACACCACCATTCTGACAGTATACAGAAGTGTTTTTTTTCCAATGGATTGTTTACACTGATTCATTTTAAATCCCTTTGCGTTCAGTTGGATTTTTACCTCTCTTTCATATTCGTTTTCTTCACGAACTTGGCTCTCTATTGACACATACAGTACCTAATTAGAAATAATCGAAAAAAGTATGCTTGCATACTGCAAATAAGAGTTTATTACGCATAATAATCGATTGATTTGCCAAGATCCTTGGTTCTAGAGTTACACAAGAAAATACCCCTTTCTGAGCGCAAATGTAATCGTAAACATTTGGAAATACTAAGGGACAGTTTGGAAATCAGGGCTAAAATGAACACAGCTGCTCTGAAATAGTTTTGGATTTTTCTGAATTTTATGCCAAGGTAAGAAGGGGTGCATATTTTTCACTAGAACCCCCCAAAAAGTTGAAAACTGTCGTCCGTGTGCTATGCTATGCATTTATGATTAAGGTTATTTAAATTGGTCGGCGCGAAATCACGGACATCGTTTGAGATGCCAGATACAGTGGGCATACAGAAATGGCCATAACGCCTGCACGCTGTTTTGTCGGTAATCCTTGACGACGTAATATAGAATCAATATAGGACTGCTAATCAAGACTATTTCTAATCAATAGTATTGATCAGATCAATATGTGAAAATACCCCTGAAACATTCTAACCAAATCCTGTAGGGATCCTCTAAAATGAATCCAATCTTCACAAATGGGTGTTCCGGGGGTTTCTTAAGGATCTTGAGTGAGTGTAAAATGTTCATAAATAAATCAGAGAGGTTTTAGAATATGGTTTTAAACTTAGTGAGTGATTTGTAACTCAGCAGAACCAAAAGCATTTCACCACCTTTTCCTTACCTTGAATAATGTTTCCTTTAAAGCTGATGAGCATACATACACAGCCGATGAAAAATCAGTTAAAAAAACAAAGCTTTGTTCTTTAGAACCCAGACCCACTAGATTACTCATTGTGGTCCATGCCTGTATTTTGCTTTGTTGAATTAGCATTTGCATTCATTAAACACACAGAATTAAGAACAATAATTCAGCGTCTTGCTGAAGTTGATCTTACTATAAACCCTACACAAGCACTAGTGGCCAGAACGTCAGACATCGGGGAGTGAAGGCGCGAGCAGACTCGCACGTGAAAGCTTGGGGAGATCTCAGTTTAGACCATCAGCGGCCACTGACGTGCATCTTAAAGGGTTTCACAAATCTCTGACAATTAAAATGAACTACTGGAGGGTTTAATCCCCTCTTCACAGTATGTTGGTGAAGGTATCCTGTAGGTACGTTATATTTCCAGTTATTTCAGGAAGGCAGCAAGTCTTTTCATCTGCTTCTGAAATGCAACAGCCACTGAGCTGGTGTTGAGCCACCATCTTCCCACCAGCAGGAACCTAGCCAGTTCATATACAGTAAAGTCACAAAGCATTTTTCAGGACCCTATGCAGACGACAGAATCCGGAGGGGAGTGAGACAAACAAGGGGAAAAAGACTAGGATCAGGGCTGGGAGAACAGGGGGGCGTGTCCAAGGTGCGCCGGTGCTCGGGGGGCGTGGTCCATGCAAACAAGTCCGAAGGGAGTCCGTGAGAATATCCTGAG